AACTGAACAACATCTCCTACACCTCTTAAATACTTAAAACACGAGGATACTTTGAAGTATTTGTCTGTCATGTATTAGATGAATTTTTCCTTGACACTTCGGTAACTAGAGTCTATCTAGCTAATGTTGGTGGTGAAGGTGTTGATGTTGACCTTGGTGAAGAAGGTGAGGTTGTTAACTTAGGTAGAGAGGATGAGGATGTTAACCTAGGTGGAGAAGGTGAGGTTGTTGACCTAGATGGAGAAGGTGAGGCAGTTCACCTTAGTGGTGAGGGTGAGGATGTTAACCTTGCTGGGGTGTTGATGTTAACTTTTGTAAGGAGGGTAAGGTTGTTGACTTAGGTGGAGTGGATGAGGATGAGGATGTTAATCTAGGTTGAGATGGTGAATCTGATTTCTTGAGTAGTAATTCAGATTTAGATACACCTTGGGAAGATGGTTCAGATGTTGATGAGGGGTTGAGAGCATTTAGACAAGATATAAGAAAGAAGAAACAGAGAAAAAAAGACTACTGAATATGAAGAAATACCTTTTGGAAGGGCTAGTGGTATAGATAGAAGCTTTGAGGGTATTGAAAAAAAATAAAATTGACAAATATGCATGAAAATTGGATGGACATGAGGATTATATCGATAACTCTAACTGTTGGAGAGTATGATAGTGATAAACAACTAGATGTAGATGCTGTAGAGAAGTAGATATGTCTTCTAGAAGGAGAAACAAAAAAGTTAAGTATGATGAAGTTTGTGAAGTGTCAATATTTGAGCTTGGAATAATCTTTGAGGGTGTAAATTAGTTCAAAAAAGTAGTGGCTGATTATGCTGTAGAGTACCAAAAGCTGATAAAGTTAAAGACCTAATGAAAAACATACAGTGACGGTAAAATGCAAAAATCCTGACGGTAAGTGATTGTTATATGCTTCCATTGACGAGGACTCGGGTGATTTCATTGTGAAGAACTATCATCCAGTTCATAAGCGTATTCCATTAAACAGGAACAAGTTGTTTATTTCAAAGTTAATTGCTAGAAAGTTTAAGGACATAATTGTATCTCAATTATACATAAGGATTTGCAAATTCAAGATTTGGCTAGAAAGACATTGGGTCTTTATGTTGGTAAGACTCTTTGTTACAAGGCAAAACAGAGGATTATGAATAAAGACATGGGTGATTGGAATGTGCAATTTGCCAGATTATGTAACTATGCAGCTAAAAGCTCTTGTTGGGTAGAAATCGATAAGAAAATTAAATCAGAAAATAACATTTTTATGTATTCTTTCATGCATTTAAGCAAGGATGATTGAAGTGGTATATAAATATAATTGAATTTGAAGTTGTTTTCTCAAGAGAGCTTGTGAGGGTGAGCTATTAGTTGCTGTTGGAAAAATGGAAACAATGAAATGTATCTCACTGTCTGGGCAGTTACGGATACAGAAACAAAACATAGTTGGAGCTGGAGGAAACAGAAGGCATGCAACTGGTGTTGGTGTTTACTCTGATCCTACAACTGGAGCCCAAATATTTAATGTATGTTCACTTAATATGTTTACTTTGTTTTGGCGTATATTCTGATAGCCATATTATGATTTTACCTTATTTTACACTTTCTTTTTTATACATCAAGTGAGAAGATTCTAAATGGGCCAACAAAATTGAACAGTGCTTCACCAACCAATATAGACATTGGCTTTAAACCCCATGATCTAAAATGGAAGGAAAAATATGCAGTCAAACACTCCAAAGTTACAACAAATGAAAGCAAACTGGAAATATGAAGTAGTTCAATTGGAAAGTTCTTATGATTTTGACCCATGTTAAAAAGGTCTACAACAAGCTACTTTTAGTTTATTTTGAATGCTCGTTTAAACCATGTATTTTTAAACCATGTATTTTTGTTGGCAAGACTGTATTTTTGAACCATGCAAGACAATGATTTTTGAACAACAAGTAGAATACATACAAATGCATTTCTGTTATGCATTTTTCAACCATTATTTGTGTTATGAAATTTTCAGCCATCCATTTGTATTATTAGCTCTGTTTTTGAACAACTAGACTACCCACAACTAGAAATTCGCTGATTACAAAATTCGTCGGAATGTAGTCAAAAAATAAGGTTTTTCAATGACTTTCCGACTACTTTAGAGTAGTCGATATTTTGAACGTTGAAAATTCTTTACCGACTATAGCAGTTGGACTTTTTCGATTACGCTAGTCTTAAAATATAAAACAAGACCCCATCACTGTATCAGAAACTATTAAAATAATAATTTAATAATTGAAACAATGCCGACTACAGTATTCGTGATTATTGAGAAATTAAATAATAATTAATAAATATTTCAACTACTGTAGTCGAAAACTATTAAAATAATAATATAATAATTGAAACAATGTCGATTACCGTAGTCGTTATTGTTGAACAATTAAATAATCAATTAATACATTTTCCGACTACTGTCGTCGTCGGCATATAATTTATTTATTAATCATTTAACTAATTTTATGACTACTACAGTCGGTATACATAATAGTATATTCACTAATTCGGTCATCTTTCGATTACTGTAGTCGAGATTTTCAATTTTCCAAAAAATGAGGGGATAATGCACAAGTATCCCCTCAACATATGATCGAAATCTTAAAGACACACTTATACTATACTAAGATCCTATTACCCCTTAACTTATTTTATTAATATTTTTTCATATCATGAAATACGAATTACAATATTTCTCAAAGTTGTTAGTTTTTCCTATTTCAAAAATGAAGAAGATATATTGAAGTTTCAGAATTTTGTTTTGAAAAAACTCAGAACATGTAACAAGATAATCATTTCGAATTTCAGGAGTTGCCACATGGTCTTCTCAGAATCTTAAGGAGTTCCATAAGTTAGTAGTAAATTACATTTGGTACCTCAACTAAGGGGAATGACAGATGCAACTAGTCATGGTGATGATAATAACATATTTTATATATCGTCATCACCATGCTTTATGACTCAATAATAGGGATCTTGGACGCCCATTTAGAGTGGAATAAGGAGATGTGTAGTTTCTTATTTTGTCTTCAGAAATAAGAGTTTATTGCATTTCTCAGCTTACCTTTTTAATTGCTAGATTGGTACCCTATCTAACTAACTACTAATGTTGTATTATTGGATAGGATAAGTAATGGTTAGGAGATAGATGTTAGAAGAATACTGTCCTGAGGGATCCAATCGTTAATCGGAGCAATAGTAAGTAGCAGTTGAGGAGGAAAGGTGGGCGGTAATGGATTCTCCTGGGTTGATTCACTTGTAGGAGCCAATGAAGTTGATTGAGAATCATGTTGTTTTCCTAAAAAGAAATTGTCATTTCTCTGTACAAACGGACTAACATCATGGTTCACAAATAACAAAGAGTACTAACTACGAACGTAACATTTTACTACTATGCCCCAAGCCTTTGTGTTTATCTCTGCAACCAATTAAAAATTAAACTTCAAAAAAAGCATTAGTAATGACCATTTTAACTAAGGATTAAGAGTGTTCCTCTCACGTTAAATTAATAAGCTATTCAAAGATTATACAAATTACAAATTATTCAGGAATAAAAAGTTGGCAAAATGAAAGCATTTTCTACAGTTGAGAACAATTTCTATTTATGGCCAAAAAAGGTAGACAAATAATAAGTTGGAGGAGTTGCTGGACAAAACCAAAATAATCAAAAGTCTCTATGGTTAGAAATTCTAGAAATATGTAATATAAAATAGGGAAAATACATGAAAAAAACCCCTCAATTTGGTCCAAAAACTCACTTTAGCACTTAAACTACACGGGTATTTAAATATTCCTATTAACATCTTTGAAATGAATTAAAAACCACCCTAGAGGCTGACATGGCAAAGAGAGTGAGTTCAATTTCCTAATAGCGTGTGAAGGAGTTAAACAAGAAAAAAAAAGTATAAAATCATACAAACGACATATTTTTATTGGTCAATATATAATAAATATTTTAAATATTATTTTCTTACATTACCTTATATTAAAATATATGAATAATTTTATTGGCCCATAAAAATATAACTTTTATCCTCTTTATTTTTTTGTCTTCCCCGATGAAGTGCTAAAGTGAGTTTTCAGAGGGTTTTTATGTCTTTCTCCTATAAAATATAAAACCTGAAAACAATTAATGAAGGCTTAAAAAAGTTGATGATACTATTGGGTGGCTTCAAATGAAAATGCAAGCCCTCAGATATTGACTTACCTTGTCTAGGAGAATTTATGGATTACAAACGCATGCACTGTGCATAGCTAGTTTGTGCATAACTTGTACATACTTTTGTTATTCCTCTTCTTGAAACTCTTTGTTCTTGTTCAATGTTCTTATAGTAACAGTCTTACAAAATCATTAGATGTTATTCTTTATGAAAATACTTTGAATATTTTGATTCATCAACAATTCCAGTCTCTTATGTCAAAAGTATTCATTTTGTGTACAATGACAAGGAAAACTTGTCTTCTCATCATTACTTCAAAATCCAGCATATTGAATAAACAAAAAAAAGAGAAACAATAATAGAAATTATAATACCAAACAGTAGAAGCAGGTGTTGAACACAATAACTATACCATGTTGGATATTTACCAAATATTCAACATCATATAGCAGTTAAATTTAAAACACTTAGACATTTACCAAATTTCCGTCGAATTATTGACCCAATACATATGGCATTAATCACACAACTTTCAATTGTGAAGCATCCACAAGGTGAGGTCTGTTCAAGAAGTTTTCCTCCCTGCTACAGATTGTTGACACTATATATTATGTAAAAGGAAAATTCGGTTCATGAAACATTTTACGTTTATGCATGGTTTGGAAAAGAAACACACCTTAAGGGGCTATAATGTGCATGTCAAATGAAATCATAGTTGCAGAGAATTTTTTTTTATAATCTAACTAATTTGGTTAGTCCACTACTTGTACACTAGAAAATGTAGCTCAACAGTAGAAAAATATGATGAAGCTAGACGGGGATACTTTTTCTTGTTTCTTTTCTTTCTGATTCTCGTTCTGTCCCTTAGAATGCAAGGAACTAGACAAATGTGAGTAACAGTCATACCAACAGACAAGATAAACTTATCATTCTAAAAAAACAAACCACTAATAAAATCCATAGAAAATATTGAGTAAGACATCATAAAAAACATTGGATAAGACACTCCAAACAAGTCAATCATATTTGCTTGATTCATAATCACTATCAAATTCTTCCTCATCAGTTTTTTCATTTTCTTCAAGGAATTTCTCATCACTTGTTTCATATTTTTATCAGTTTAGGATTCCTCCTTATTAGCCCTAGATGTTCCTTCTCCATAATTAGTTGGAATTGATTCAAGAATAGTAGCATCGAATTTTACATATGTGCCTTCTCTTTGTTGTAATTCACCTGCTAATTCACCATCCACCATTGCTTCAGGCACTTGAAATATCATTTTGATATGCTATATCCAATACATCCTCCACCTTCCACAGGCTTGCCTTTTATAACCACATGCCACGAAGATTTGTTCTTGCACAAAGGAGAAGAAATGTAATACACTTGTTTCACATTTTTTGCAATGATAAATGGATCATAGAAATGATATTGTCTCGTGTGGTTAAGTTCAATTATTTTGTACCGAGGATGCACTTTTATACTACTAGGATCAGGATCATACCCCTTACACCGAAAGAGTAATATCTTTTTCTTCTGTCAATCAACAATATACTCGAGTTCTATAATCTCTTGAAGCACACCATAATAATCAAATTTTCTCTTACGTTTCACCCACACCCCACTATTATTGGTTTTCTTGACTTCGGATCATTCTTCCATGTGAAACTTATACGCATTAATGAAATACTTAGACATTATTCTGAATCTATGATCAGGTCCCATGCTATATCACGCAAAAATTGGACATTCACGACACACACATCATTAACTGGATTATGAACCTATATTAAATTAGAAAAAAATTTATAATATTAATATAATTGATTTAAAAATACTTAGTAGTATTAGGTAACACTTACATATTTTCTAAACCACTCTGTAAACCTAGAATAAGCACCAAAATTTCCATATGTATCAAAAAAATAATTGTCCAACAAAATAATAAATTTGATTAGTTAAGAAGAAATGAGTCTTGTTTTGAATTAGGTAATATATGTACATACCTATGATAAGGTTGGACCTGGGCACAATTCAATAATACATATGTTTTAGCTGACTTTAGCTCCATGTTAGTTAATTTTCGCTTATGAGTATGTTTAGGACCTCCTTTTTTTTGGATGATTGAATATGAAAAAAGGTGGTTCCAAAAGATCGACACTTCCTCCATCGTCATGTCGATTGAGCCTATTTCTCAAACATGACACATCACTTTCAAAATAATATAAAACAAAATCAGAAGTTTCTCTTGCCAGATATGCATTACCCATCATTTCCTCCATTCTTCATATATTTTTTTTAGTCCTCTTACTTTTGTCAATAATCCTATAAATTGTGACGTCTGGATGAAATATTTCTAATTCTAATACAAAAGAGATATATGTAAAATTCATCACCTGTCAAATGGATACATCCATCTACCTTGAATTGGTCCTCCAAGTCGTACCTCTTGCACAAGATGAATGGGAGATGTTCCATTACATTAAAAAAAACCAGGAGGAAATATTCTTGCCAACTTATCTAAAGCTAAGAAAATGTTACTCTCTTTGTAATTTAGATCCTCCACCCACAATGTACTAGAACATAACTCTTTGAAAAAATGCTTATTTCTGTTATGGACTTCCATATTCTATTTGGCAAGTCATTGAATGCAATAGACATCAAAGATTTCATGAAAATGTGACAATCATGGCTTTTCATAGACATCAAATTCCTTTTTTCATATCTACACATCTAGATGAATTTGAAGCATATCCATCACGCATCTTCAAATTCTTGAACCAATCACAAATTTTTCTCTTCTCATCTAAAGTGAATGTATAACTAGCCTTGGGATTCTGAATCTTGTTGTTAAGGTATGTCAAGTTCTACTAACTTCGCCCGCAATATTCTTTTAAGTCCATATTAACCTTCAAATTATCATTTGTCTTGTTATTAATATCCATCACAATATTAAATATGTTATCAAAAAGATTCTTTTCAATATTCATGACATCCAAATTATGTCGAAGAAGATTATGCTTTCGATAAGGAAACTGCCAAAATATGCTCTGTTTTGTCCAATTATGTGTAACACTATAACCAGGTATCTTAGATTGTGGAGAATATGTTACGTTAGGTAGATCCCTAACTCTATGCCACATTTCTTTAGGTGATGTATTTCTCCTAAATTGTAACGACCTGTTTAGTCGTTTTGAGCAGTAGAGTTTATTTCTGGTAATAGCTGTCTGGGTCGACGGATCCCACGACGAACCGTCATGGGCACGACGGACCGTCGAGGGGGTCTCGTTCCAAAACACTTTAGACTCTGGAAAATTGGGTACTGAGATCGACTCTCTGAATTTCGCGACGGAATGGCAGGACGGACCGTCGCAGGCATGACGGGCCGTCACAGACCTCTTAAATGAAATTGAGTCTCTGAACTCTGTGACGACTCAGCAGGACGGACCATCGCAGGCACGACGGACCGTCACAGGCTGCGTAACCCTGACTGGGTCAGATTTCTGTTAAAAGTTTTAAGGGGTGTTTTGGACTATTCCTGCTTATGATTATAAAGTTAGTGGTTTAATGTTAATAATTCAATTACTTGGGGTTAAAAGGAGATAACCTTGAATTAAATAGTGAGTTACTTTTACCATCTTTTATACTTAATTATATGATAATTAGGATAAAAGAAAAAAGAGTTGGAATAAGGAAAAATAGGAAGAACAGAGAGAAGAGGGAAGAACGAACGAGAGAGGGAGAAACGAATAGGAAAGCAAGGCATTGAGAAGTAGTTTGTTTGATCACGAATTCTTCGGTGGAGGTAGGTTATGGTTTATGCTATTTCATAGTAAACTCTTAATAACGACTGATATGTATTGGGTAGTATTGGAAACCCTTCTATATGCTTAATTGTGTGCTTGCATGATGTGATTATGTAATTGTAATGGATGGGAAGGATGAGGCTGTGAATCTTAAACCTTAAAAAAACCTCTTTGTTAATGATGATGCCTTAATATAAAAGAAGGCTTGATGAACGAAAAGAATGAGGTTAGGGATCGGAGTGTCACGTTCCGACACCAGGATAGTAGGGGATCAGAGTGTCACGTTTCGACACCAGGATAGTAGAGGATCGGAGTGTCACGTTCCGACACCAGGATAGTAGGGGATCAGAGTGTCACGTTCCGACACCAGGATAGTAGGGGATCGGAGTGTCACGTTCCGACACCAGGATAGTAGAGGATCGAGTGTCACGTTCCGACACCAAGATAGTAGGGGATCGAAGTGTCACGTTCCGACACTAGGATAGTAGATGATCGGGTGTCACGTTCCGACACCAGGATAGTAGGGGATCGGAGTGTCACGTTCCGACACCAGGATAGTAAGATGAATGAATATTGAGGGGATCGGAGTGTCAAGTTTCGACAACAGGATAGTAAAGAGAACGAATCTTGAATTATGCTAAAATACTCAGATTTAAAGAACTTGTTTCCCAAATGAGTATGGTGGAAAGGCTTGAGTCCTCGTAGATGTGCTTGGTGTTGTGGCCAATGGTTATGGTACTTGTTGTTGTCACCTGTTAAGTATTTGGTTGGTTTTATGTTATTATTTGATATATATTGCTTTCTATTCTGAGTTGGCCGATGATACCTACTCAGTACTTGTGCCTTGTACTGACCCCTGCTTGTAATTTTCTTCTTTGTTAATTGTGGAGTGCAGCAAACGTACCATCGACTTCAACTCAACCGCAACTCTAGCCAGACTTCAACGTAATCAGATTTCAGGGTGAGCTATTATTCCTAGCTCGGACTGGCTTCTTTCTTTCACGTCTTGATGTCTTGAAGTTCGGACATGGACCATCGGTTTTATTTATTTTAGCTTCCTAGATACTCTTAGATTTAGTAAATTGAGGATAGATGTTCTTGTGGTGATGACTTCCAGATTTTGGGAATAATGAGTATCAAATTTTAGAAGTTATTTATTGGTTATATTAATGAGTTTTAAGTCTTCCGCATTATATTCTGTTTATTATGGTTGAAATGTTGGGGTTTAGATTGGTTGGTTCGCTCACATAGTAGGATAAGTGTGGGCGCCACTCGCGGCTCGTTTTGGGTCGTGACATAAATTCATGATCCATTGGTAAGAATTGACGGTGACAATTGAATCATGAGTTCTTACCTCCATGTTTTAATGTGAATACTTTTGTGACTTCCATACAACATGGGTAAGCTAACTTATCAGCAGTTGACAACCCAACAACATTCCATAAGCATGAAAATTATTTATAGTCCACAACAAAGCAACACGCAATGTGAAGTTTTGTTTATGCAATAGATCATATGTTTCTATGCCTTGATTTTACAATAATTTTAACTCATCGATCAAAGGTTGCATGTATATGTCAATTAAATTTTTTGGATTTTGTGGACCTGAAATAATGCAAGTTAGGAACGAATACCGACTTTTCATACATAACTCGAGGGGAGATAATATGACATAACAAATACTGGCCAACATAAATATGGTGCAAACAGAGATTGCAAATGGAGTGAATGCATCCGTGCATAACCCCAACCTAATGTTTCTACGTTAGTAGCAAAGTCAGAAAACACTCTATTAAAATGCTTCATACTTCTCCATCTGATGGATGACATAGAACACCATGTAACCTTTTATGTTCATAATGTCATCTCATATGAGGATCAAAGCTCATTGATGCATATAACCTCTTTAACCTAGGTATAAGTAATGCATTGCCTTACTGGGACCTTTTTCCATTTGACATTTGTTACCTCCTTATAACAAACTTTATTACAAAATTTGCAACTTTATAAAGTTGCATCATCTTTATAGAATAACATGCAACCTTTTTCACAACCGTCAATCCTTTCTAATAAAAGTTCTTACTTAGAAACCAACTTCTTTGTCATGTACAAATCTTGGGGTAAGTCAATTTTACTCGAATTAAGGTCATTCATAAGCCCAATAATATAATCCATGCCTGCTTGATAAATTGAATAGTATGACTTTATTCTTATCAATCTAACATCAACAGTTAAGTGTTCATAGAAGCGGTTAGCCTTTATCATTTGTGTAACCCCCGTATCCAAACAGACCAAAAACTAGTTTTTTATAAAATCCACATGTGTAACAGACAGTGGCCATCGACGGACCATAGCCTGACCCATGGTCCATCTTGCACATCCTTCGATGGAGTCAGAAACCCCCAAAATCTTAGCCCAGGAAAATTTGACTAAGTGTCGAACGACGGACGAACCGACAGTCTGTAGGTTAGACTACGGTCCGTAGTCTGTATTTGTCAATTAACACTCCATTTACCCATTATTTGACAAGAACCATGATTGAACAGCACGATCCGTAGATGGACCTACGGACCATAGGTCTGACCGTAGGTGGAAGTTAGCAGACAGTTAGGGGGGGAAATGCAGTTGGGTCAACTTCAAATGATCATGAATCTTAACACAAAATGAATTAGGTGTCCCATGACCTACTAAACGATATATAAATGAATTATCTTTCCATAGCCACCGACCTTGCTAAAATTAGACTTTCGAGTAAAAAGTTATGCCTGTTTTAGTAAAGGCATGTCGAACAGGCCCAACCTACGGAACAAACAATGAACCATCGATGGCGACGGACCGTCTGTCCAGGTCGTCGTTTGGTCCAAGAACAATTAACCCAGGGGTCTTTTAGTCTTTTCGCACTTTGTTTAAACCCTAAGATACGTCGTTTTGAAACTAAATCATCAGATTTTAGTCAGTTTAAGCCTAGAAACATAACTAAAACTTACCCTAAGTAAATCATTAATCAAAACTTACAAAAATTAGAAGCAAGAAAGGAGAAAAAAGTCAAGAACCCTAGCTTAAGAATGCAACAAGATTTCAGCAGTTCCAGCCCCGAAATCTATGTGTTTCTTCGTGAATTTCATCACAAGATATGTGGGATTTCACTAATGGGTTCCTTTCACCCATTGGGTCCCTTGTTTTCAGTCAGTTCTTGATACTCTTATCATGATTAAACCTAGGGTTTCTAGAACTTTGATAGAACTTCATGAATTTACTAAATATATGTTCCAAATCAGATTGTAAAGTTATTATTCAGTTTATCGCATGAATTTTAGAACCCTAGCTATGTATTTCTTTAGTTCTTGAATTACACATGCTAGTTCAGATATTTCAGTTATTCAGTTATACATGCCTCAGTTTTAATGCATCATTATCAGATCAAATGTTGCATTCTGAGTTTGCATTTGCAGGTTTGAGCTATCCAGTAATTACAGAAAATTCAAACATAATCAATTAACTACATAATTCATTGGGAGTAGCATAATACCGAGTTGGACTAGTGTTCACCGTATTCAATTAGTCCCAGAACTGCTAGCCAAGTAGGTTGTAAGTCCCCTCTGTGGGCAATCACTTTAGTGATACCGCCAACATGCCTTTATACCTTTGGCAGGGTATATTGGGTCCTCTCGATGAGGAGTATACATCGAACTCCACATTTAGATCATGATTTTATTATCGCTTATTAGTAACTCCCACAGTTCATTCAGACTCTCTTGGATTGATCATTTATCAGTATACTCAGTATTCAGTTTCAGCATGTTATCAATTGGTCATTGCATTCAGTTAGCTCAGAATTCTCTATATCATGTTCAGATTATTATACTTGCTTTTATGCTTGTTCAGTTATGTTTTATTTCACCTTTTTTCTATCCTACATGCTCAGTACCCTTTAATTACTGACGCATATGTTCGCTACATCTTCTCGTGATGTAGGTTCAGGTTCTCAACATCCAGATCACGCATAGGTCGATTTTCGATCTGCAATTTAACAGATTCAGTGGTGAGTCCTCATTCTCCGAGGACAATAGTCATGAGTTTCATTTCAGTATTTAGTCTTTTAGTTTCAATTTTTGCTAGATTTAGCTGGGGCTTGTCCCAGTATTTCTAGTCCAATTAAGAGGCTGATTTCAGACATAGTTAGTTTCGGCTTAGTACTGAGTTAATATTTTCTTTGTATTAAACTCATTATTTTCAAATATCTCAGTTATAAAATATAGGTATTTCCTGTTTTTTGAGTATAAATTATGATTTAGCTTCTGTAACAGTTTATTATTTTTAGTATGCTCATGATCATGCTAGCAGGGTTAGCTTAGGATCACTTGTGGTCCCAGGTTCCGCGTCTCGAGGGTAGCAAGGGGCGTGACAATTTGGTTCTTATTGAATCCCTGGGAACATCTCAAAAGCAGTTCTCAACATTTTACTAAATCAAGAATTTTCAACATTATTATCCTCTATTGGATTATTCACACCACCTAACACATTCTGGAAATCAACATTAGCTACATTGACCTCATTCTCTCCATGAACTGTCCACACATAATAATTATCCATAAACTCCTTTTTATAATATGTAATTCAACTTTATCTTGTTTCAATAACTTGATACACTTGCATTTGGCACAAGAACACCTAATTGTGTCTTCTATAAGAAAATCATTTTCAGTTTTTGCCTTTGCAATAAATTCTTTAACCCCGTCCATAAATTCCACTCTCAACCCCGAACGATTAGGATGAGTTCGATCATACATCATCCAATTACGATGTGCAAATTCCATCTACGAAAATGAAAAGTTGAGAACTTAACTTAACAAACTAGCAATAATTCAAACAAGAACACATCTATGAATTAAATCTTAAAAACAGAAATTTTTTAGCTACACAACATAACAAATTGCTCATATTTGACATAAAAAAACACCACATCTTATATAATTTAAGAATACACCACATCTTATAACATTTTTAATGCATAATCTTGATAGTTAAGCACAAAGAGGAGACACGATGATAAAATATAAACTCTTATCCATAATCAGTATTTCATAAATTGAAAATACAAAAGCTCAAAGTTAATTTGAACTCGCAGATTATGGAAATGAGATAGATAATTGAGAGTATAGAAGAGGCGCATGCATAGTGTCGAGAAAATTCAGTAGCAATCCAGATCTGTGTGAAAATTAAGCCTATATCAACTCTAATTTGTTGATTGAAGAGAGAAAATAAAAGAAGAAAAAGAAGAAGTGAAAAAAAGGAATCAAAACTTGCTAAAGTTCAATCCAGTTATGTTTTGATTTGATTAGGCAAGGCACAATTTAGTAATTTTATGTGCATTTTAGTTGCCAGTAACTACTTCTTGAAGTTGTTGATTCATAAAGTTGTCAGCAACCATTTAGCAATTTCATGCTGAAACAGATGTATTATAGTTAATAAAGTAAAAATGCAATAAACTTGTACACTTTAACAAATTAACTCATATCCTCTCTTTCGTTGTTCTGCTATAATCTGCATAATCATATTCGTCCTGCTAATTAACTGTTACATGCTCTTCTCCTTACTACGAACTCTCTCCTATATAAAACTCTTATCACAACGTGTGTATATATATATAATTTTCTCTTTCTCTATTTTTCTCACAAGTTCTTCACTTGTCAAGCACTCGGGAACACTAGAACTCTTACAAACGTGAAAAACTCATTTCTCAGCAGAATATGTTTTGCACCAGCACTACCGAATCTGACCTTAACAATAGCAATAGTATGTTCCACCTCCATTTTCTTAAAAACCAAAAATGACATTGATCATATTAACATATATGTTTATCTTTTTCATTCACCGGCTTAAACATAAACTTGTACTATTAGACGACAATCAAACAAACTCATAAAAAACTCAAACTTCATCACTTCTCAAGTCCATACGAATGTAAGAAAGCAAACATGACATACAATAAGTAAAAAATCACAAACAAAGAAGTGAGAAATCTGTTAGACTCCATCCACGGTACATACCCAGCTAGTGGAATATGTTATGTTGAGTATTATGATGGGTTATTCTATAAAATAGTAGCGGTCATACTACTAGGTAGCAATTTTTTTTTTACAGGAACACAGAACATAGCCCGGAACAACAAAATTTCTTCTTTGGTTCTGAAATTCTCCTTTAGATGTAAGCATCATAACTCCTATTTTCTAAACTAAAAACACTTCATCGCATTTTATTATGTAAATTAGTTAATAATATAATTCTAGCAAAACTTTCACATGAATACCCATTAATCTATCATGATGATCCACCAATTCCTAGGCATCACAAATAGTATACACATAAGATACGTACATCTGCAAGTGAGAATTCAAAAAAAACAGAATAAACACTACGATACATTCAACATGTATCTCATAACAAATTAAGGCATGTAATCAAATGACAAATAAAGAATCAGTACGTATGGCTACAATGTCTAATAATTTTTAGATTAAATATTCTTACCAGCTACATGACATATCAAACAATTATTTTGGTATAAGTTTTTACCTCCCCATGTCGAGCAAGAAGTAAGCTAAGTAACATAAGCAACTGATATCACTTCAATTCAAACTGTAAATAAAACAAATATGATGAGTACAAAATGAGATATGGTATAGATAGTAATTAGTATTTACAATTACCTGATAATTGTATAGTTATACATATTCTAGAGAAAATTTAAAGTGATTTTCCCCTTTTTATATGGATTATTACAAGAAAGCTAAAGGAAAATTGATCTTTCATTTGTGAATCATTGATGAAAGCGGTGTTTTTCTCGTCTTATTATCTTCATAAGATTTTGTTTCTGACCTTCGATTTTCAAATGATAGAATACTGAAATTTTGCGGCGTGTATCGCTTTCAAGATAATCTCCTATCAGTTGCAAGTCCGTTCCTCACCAACTGAAGACGTGATTTCACCATACCTCGACAAAATTGAAATCCTAAAGGGGACGAGATTTCACCGTACCTCAACAAAATTGAAATCCTAAAGAGAAGGAGACTTTATATTACCTCTTTCAAATGATGTACTTATCGTACCTCACCAAATTGAAGTTCTAAAGAGGACGAGACAACACCTTACCGTAAAAAAATTGAAACCCTAAAGAGGAGAAAAGTTTACATTACCTCTTTCAGACGATTCTCTCAAAATTTGCCCTTCATCTGTGCAAAAATTATCGCTGCAGTAGTGAGTCGTGAGTGAAAGTGAAAAGCCAGTTAGAGAGACGTGAGTGAAGGTGAGTAATTAATTAGATTTGATATAACATCATTGTTACTTTGCCCTTTTTCTTTATTTAATTAGAAGATCCAATGGATCAAAATTTATTAAATAAAAAAATATTTAAAAAACGAAATGTGGATGCCCAAGATCGAAGTTGGGATCAAAGTGGGGACTTTCAGCATATAAGATTGACGCACATTAATTGGAAAATTAATTTAATTTTAAATTTAAATTATATTAAAATTACCGACTACAATAGTCGCCAATTAAAAATACTTTTAATTATTTTAATAAGTTCCCGATTACTGTAATCGGACAAGTAGTCATAGAATTTACGACTCTAGTAGTCGAAATTATAGTCGGTGAAATTTAATAAAAATTCAAAGAACATAAATTTTAATGTACTGATTACAGTAATAAAAAATTACCCTGATTTTTGATTGCATATATGTAGTCGGCAGTTGTAGTCGGTAAATAACTTATTTCTAGTTGTCAAGTTAGAAAACAGAGACAAGTTATAAAAAAAAGACACGGATCAATTTACACTTAAATTTACAAAAGAGAGACTAATCAATTCACATTCAAACATTTAATTTGATACAAAATATGAACTTAACAGACCAATTAAGTATAACACTACTTGACAATTAATTACTACAATCTTGAACTACTACTACACAATATTAAAAAACCATTTTGTAGTTCGCAGACAACGAAAAACAATCACAACTCGGTTAAATTTGATATATTTTCAATCTCTTTGGAGTTTAACTTCCTGAAGCTTCTTGTTCAATACCATTATTTTCTCTTCATTTTCATTCTACTGAAATTTCAAAGAATCCCTTTCTTCTTCAAGCTCTTTCACTTTTCTTTTCAGTTGACCAATCGAATTTTGACCATATATGAATCTATTTATTAAGGATAATTCGTCAATATTTTTAAGCAACAGACCAGTCCATCTAAAATAGCCACACCCACAAACCACATGACAATAATAAATATACAAAAATGTTGTTTTTTCATATAATACAATAATAATAATAGTCTTTGTTCAAATAATTACAAACCTTTGATGCTTTGCATTTAAAAAATCGGCGACTTAAAATGGAGTCCTCGAAGTTTTCAACAACAATAAGCACCACAGTTACATATATCGACTTCGTCGATATTCAGTGAACTTAACGATATTTGATAAAAGACAATTGATTTAGAAGAAAGAAGTGTTGGAGATTTAGATAAAGAAGAGAGAATTGGGGATTTAGTGAAAGAAAAATTAGATATTTTAACGTTTACAATATCAATATAAAGATTTTAATGTTGAAAGTCTTAAATGCAGGATAAAAAAATGAGAGAAAGAACGATTCACGCGCCCTATGTGCGTGATTCACAAACGATTTTGCCATGTAGGAAAAGTGCTTAGACAATTCCAATCTAGAGTGGTAGAGGTGTTCAATAGGTACTAGATCTAGTTGAAATGTCTAAATGAATAACCGACTGTATGTTGTGGCCACTAGTCAAAACGACATAACTTTAATAATATGTATTCTAGTCGAAGTGTTTTGAAGACACATAATTTTTACTGAACATAAGATTTTACACCATTTTTATCCCTTAAATATTTAATTTGAGTATACATTAAATATTTTACTTTTTTTCAATTGTATATTAGTAAGTTTATTTGAAAAAATTGAAAACTACAAAAATAAATGTTCTCTTTAATTAATAATAAAGCTAGTATTCCTTAATTATAATTTGGAGTAGCTATTCATTTATTCTTATATTTCTATTATGTAATATTTTATAATATTTATTATAATTTTTAAAAAAATCACCACCATCCTCACCCTATTACCCATTTCCACCCACATCTACTACCCCACTCCCATCACATTACATTCCCTCACCACTACACACCCACACATATATAGCTACATAAGGACCTTAGAATAATTGACATTGGGGACACCAATAAAACTTAATTAACTCAATAAACACCTAATTTATTTTTACTTTATTTTCTAGGGTTGCGCTTTAAAAAAAAAGGAAAGAGTGTGGGACTATGAGTTTGTTTGGCTTTTTTAAAACTTGGGATATATTTGTGAATGTGTGGTCAAGGACTTACTTAGTGTTTTTAAAACTTAGAAAAAATATAATAATCTCAATACATCTTATTTTATATTATATTATGATTGAACATGTTAATATATATGTGTGTGTGTGTGTTAAAAAGACACCTTTTTGGGATTGTTTCGACGTTTTCTCTTCTCAACTTTTCTTCTTCCCCATACATCAATTTTATCAGTAATCATATCACCACCTCTCGTCTCTCTTTCATATATACTTCTCCAAGAGTTACAAGAGAAAAAAGAGAAATCATCTATTTCTTCTTCCCATATCATCGGTTCTCTTCCACATACGTTTCACCGTTTCATCATCCATTAAACAAATGTTCAACCATTTATCGTCCTAAACGTCAAATCTTCATCTATTTCTTCTTCTCCAAGTTCAAATCTTTCATCTTTGGTAAGTTAATTTGAGTTTAATGGTGGTTTTTGGTTATTTTAGTAGTATTGGTTGTTTATTTTGTTAAAGTAATGTAACAAAAACACTTTTTCTGGATGATTTTTCTGCATGTACTTGTTTGGGATGCAGTATTTTGTTGTTTATTTGTTATAGTAGTGTAATAAACCCTTTTCTAGATGAGTTTCCTTTATATTATTTAGCATGCCATATTTTATTTTTTATTTTGTTATAGTAGTGTAATAAACCCTTTTTCTAGATGATTTTACTTCATGTTCTTGTTTCGGATGTCGTATTGGCTTTTTATTTTGTTATAGTAGTCTAATAAATCCTTAATTTGGATGATTTCTTTATGTGTCTCTTCTGTTGATTTTTGAATTTTGACTTTTGTTGTGGATTGTTATTTTCTCTATTGTCCAGTATTTTCATTGCACTCTTTCGTAAGACTTTGATCTACTTTAATATTGTAGGTTTACTGTTGTTATGACTAAAACTAGAGGTGGTCTGGTTAAAAAATCTGTTTCTTAGCCTTGTAAAACAAGAAAAGGAAGGCTAAATCTCAGGTTTCAACAAGAAGTTCAAAAAAAAAATTCTTGTTGAAGAACCCAGGTATGATTAGAATTGTGATACGATGGATGAAATAGATAAATATGAGGAGAGTCTTGATGAGGTTGATTCTAGTGAAAAGAGCAGTAGAGACGAGTCCACAAGTGAAGATAGCCAAGATACTGTAGATGAGGATGATGAACCTTTGTCCTTGCTAACTTGTGCAAGAGAAATCTCAGGTAAGTCCTATAATCTAATTACATAAGTTAGGATATTTTCCATCCAAGATTTCTGTGAGAGCAAGAATGACTTTGTAGAATGATTTTTAGAAATGTTTTACTTAATGAAAAAATTTATAATGACTTTAAAGGTAGTTGTTTTGGTCATTTAAGGCATATTCAAAAATTTTACAAGTTTAATGGATAGATGGTCCATTACATGTTATTGTGTCATGTCAATCATGACAAAAATTATAGGAGATGTGCTTTGTGTGAATGATAAGCCTGCATGTTTTGGCTTAAAAGAGTTTGCATTAATTACGAGTCTGAATTGTGGAGCATACGCCACGATATATAAATGAAAAAAAGTGCTTGACAAAGGTGAGAAATTTTCTATAAAGTAACCAAGAATAAGAATATTAGTAGTTCAAAGTTTTGAGTTTGATTAAGTGTTCTAGACTGAATAGGAGCAGAAGTTCAAGTGCTCTTTTGTTTGGTTCATCCACTCAATATTGGTTGCCCATGATCGATCTAATATTGCGAAATCAAACCACATTAATATGACTGATGATTTAGAGTTTTTCAAGAGTTATCCGTGGGGCAAAGAGTGTTTTGATTTGACACTGAAATATTTGAAGACTAAATTAATTTGAAGAAACAATGTGACGTGTACAAAGAAAGAGGGAATGCATCATATGCTTTGTATGGCCTACCCTGGGCGTTTCTGGTAATTTTAATCATTTATGGAATTGATTAATATTAAATTCTTATATATTTCTGTTCATTTATTTGTTATTTTATTAACATCAGGTTTGGATATATGAAACTTTTCCTCATCTTGATATATACATAAAGAAGTCATTGGATTCTCCATAGTTAATTTCTCGTTTACTTGGATGAAACACGGTAAAGAGTGATAACATTGTCAAAGGTGATCCATTTAATATACAAAGGTATAAACTTATTTTGTTATATAACAATATTGTAAATTATTGAAGGTCTTGTACTACTTATATATTTTTTGTAGGTTGTGCATCCATACCTAGTACCTACTATCCACGAGAACAAACAAAATTATATAGCAACATTAAAGCCATATATGGACGAAATGAAGGACACAATTATTGATGCCTTAAAGGCTAGTTTGAAAGGTGTCACTGTCCTCACTTCTGCAGTAGGTCATGTGGAGGATGAGTATTCAAACGAATACATTCCTAATCATCCTGGGAGAATTCCTATACCAAGTACTTCTAAAGATGGAAGCCTGAGTGAGCGTGTTGCATCCCTCAAGCAATTAATGGTGAAAATCATTACTTTTGTACGAGAGGAGAAGTTGACAAAAAAAAAGAAAAAGGAAAAAAACATAGATAAATTTATATACTTATTAATTGTGTAGCATAATGTATTGTGTATTAATGCTTATCCATTGATCTTGTAATAGATGATGACAACTTTTCGTCACTAACAGTGGATGACAACATCCTTCCATTAGCTGTAGTGGATGATAATCTTGCCGCAGTTGATGCATACTTTGCTGAAGAAGTTGATGAAGAGGACACGAAATAAGAAGAGAAACAACAAGAGGAGACAATTGAAGAGAACAATGAAGAAAAAGAAGAGGAGAAATTAGAAGAAAATGAAGTAAATGGAGAAGAAGATAAAGAACAACAGGAGGAAAAGATAACAGAGAATGAAGAATAGGAAAAGCTTGAAGAAGAAGGTTTGGCCATTGAAGTGGAAATAGACGTGATGGCTATTGTGATGGAGCTTAGTACTCAGAT